ACAAACCCGTTGCGATCGAGTTGATTCTGACTCATAGCGACCTATAGGACAGAGCAGAAGTGCCCCATAGGCTTTCCAAGGAGCGGTTGGTGGATTCGAACTGCTGACCTTTTGGTTAGCAGCTGTAGTGCTTAACCACTGTGCCACCAAGGCCCTCTCTCTCTGTCTCTCTCTCTCTCTATATATATATATATGTATGTGTGTGTGTATGTGTATATAGTCTAGAGTTGGGGGACATAGAGCCCGGCTACAGAGGGGCAACAGGAGCCACTTGGATCCCGATTGACATTCCACTGTCTATTCAGCCGTGAGACCTGACTGTGCCACTGTTCTGCCATGAACTGGACAACGTCTCCTAACCCTTGAGGAAATCTGAGTGTAATAGACAGGGAGATTCCTGGCATTTAGATGGCAGAGGCCAATGATGCTAGACATCATAAATGCAAGTCATTGTAGCCCAACAAACGAAGGTCCTTCTACCTACTCCCATCCAAACATCAACATAGCTACCTCATAGGGTTGATGGAAGCATTAAATAAGATGGAATTCGTGAAACAGTTGTAAATAAACGGCAATTCTTATTAGCATTAACATTTCACTGTTATCTCAAATACAACAAATCTGTATACTCCTCAATCACAAAAACTATTTCTTAATCATATCTTTATTTCCAGTAAAAACTGGGCACAATAGATACTGAGAAACTGTGTACTGAAATGCCAGAAACAACTCTGCAGCCTCACCCTCCCAACACCAGCCCAGCCCCTCCTTGCTTCCTCCATATCTTTCTTCCAGTTCTCAAGTTTTGGTATCTTGGCCATTGTTGACTCTTCTCTATCTTGCATCTCTCACCCCAGATTTATCTCTACATCCTGTCATTTCATCCTCCTAAATGTCTCCCAGGGCCACTCTCTCCTTCATTCCATTATTTTGACCCTGGGCTGGTTCTGCACACTTCAGACCCCTCCTGCGCCCAGCCTCCTAGACAGCTTTGTGGCATTCTCACTCACACCTCAGTCTATAGATATTTCTACTTGACAGGGTCTCCTAACTCAAAGACCCATTTCCAATCATCAAGTCTCTACCCCCACCTCCACTCTTTGGTGCCTGGCGCTTATAACATGCTAGTAGCATAGAGATTGTTTAGGGGGGTGGTAGCACTGACAGCGAGCAAGCTGGGTCACTGTGTGGAGGGGAGGAAATGTCTGAGTGGTCAGAGAATCTATCTGACCCAAAACTTCCAATGACTATCTGGGTCACCGAAGCCCTGCTGCTCTTCTTCCCTTCTTGGCTCTTTGAAGGCCAGTAACAGAGACACCATGGATCAATCATTGTGATCAAAGCCCAGGAGAGAACTCTGATTACCTTGAGCCAGAAAACTTTCTGAGTTGAGGTTTCCTTGTAGTGAGAGGGAGCTTTGGGTAGATTTCCACAATATTGTCTAATTGGGCCTATGGGGTGAAGTCTAAACTCTATCACCAAACTTTAAATTGCTTCTGGGATAGAACCTGGCCCCAAGGCAACCTGGCCCTTAAATTCCTGAGAGTCTTGATGAGACCCTTTGGAGAACAGTGTGGAGCACAGAGAAGAGAGGGTATGGGGCCCATTGCCTGGGCATGGCTTCCTAGCCCACCCTGGAGTGCAGCCTCCTCCAGGCTGGGGCTCCTGGCTGAGCTTCGGCCTTGAGTGCTCATCTTTGTCTCCTTGTCTCACTGAGCCCGATGGTCAGACAAGGGTACTGTGAGCAGCTGTAGCTTCTCAAGCTAGGGTAGGGTTGGGCTCTGGAGCCCTCTTCAACCAGTGTCATTTAAAGAAACCAGTGAGTTAGAAAACAGTTAAAGAGTATATGGCCATATGCTGTCAGGGCAGCTCTGAGAAATATGGCCTATGTGACCTGCTTGTTTATGGCTAGGTGGCACCCAGATGGACAGGTGACACCACAGATAATCACTTCTCCTGACCCAGGTGAGCTGGCAACCCCACCACTCCACAGGCCTGCCTTCCTGCAAGCAACAGAGCCAGCCTGGGGTGGACTCCACACTGGGTAAGTGCTGGGTGACCTCTCTGGCCAGCTCTCCCCCAGTAGGGAGGGAAGAAAAGAGGCTGTGTGTGAGGGAGCTGTGCAGGGATGGGTAGAACTGGGTAGGGGAAAAGGTAACTATTTCCAAAGCTCTGAAGGCTGCTACCATGCCAAGGGAGCAGACATGTTTTGCGTGAACACATAAAGCTGAGTTAGGACCAGCGAAGGTAAGGAGAAGTTAGAAAAACACAGATTTCAGGTGCCTGAAGAACTCTAACAACCCCAGCTTCCTGTCAATGACACTGGAGGCCCCGATGCCCAGTTGCTAAAAATGTTAAAACAGAGGCTGAAAAATCACTTATTGGAGAGAGGACACTGTAACTGGCAGGTTCGCAGTGGGGACTGGATTGATTTAATATTCAAAGATCCTGCCAAACCTCAGATGCTGCGATCACTGATACTAAAGGAGCTCTTCTCTATAAATAATTCTCCATCCCTTAAGGGCTGTTAAACTGAGATTATCTCTTTGGAAATGTCTCATTATAGCCCTCAATTGTCCCCAGTTTCCCTCTTCCCCAGCCTTGAGCAGAATGATAGCTGTAGGAGTTGTCTGCAGGTGGCATTCCCACCCGCCCACCTCATAGGACCCCTCCACCCACCAAGGCTCAGTGGACCTGCCCAGTTCTCAGCAGAAATGCCCCCCACAGTTGTAGATTTGATCAGAGAGCCTGGTCAGAGTATGGAGAGGTGGGAAGCTCAGCCTTGGAACCAGGACTCAGCTCAAGACCTGGCTCTGCCCCAGCAGGCCACATGACCTTGAATAGATGACCTCCCATCAGCTGCTGCTGGCACTGACCACACTACTGTGCCACTAGAAAATCAGCCCCCTCATGGGTGGGTGGATTGCAAAAGGCTTCCCTCTAATTGGCAGACCAGTTAGAAAAAAGTGCCCGTTCTTCAGGACAGGGCTTCAAACTAGTTGAATTTGTATTTCCATCCCAGAAATACTGAATCAGAATCTACATTTTAACAAGATCCCCTGATGATTCTTATGTATAATAAATTTTGAGAACCACTGCTCTATTAGTGATTCTCAGAACTGGTCCCTAACCAGCAGTATTAGCACTTGTTAGAAATGCAAATTTATTCAGGACCACGTACAATTCACAAACCTGCTTCAGGGCCATGTACAATTCACAAACCTCTCTCCTGACCTGTTTCTTCACGTTTAAATGGAGATGTGTTGAAATAAGTCAGTGATTCCCAAGCCTGGTGCACATCAGAAGTACATGGGGACACTTATTTTAAAAAACAAACAAACAAAAAACAGATTCCCCAGACAATCTGCAAAGGTAGTATCCAGCAATCTGTATTTTTAGCCAGCACTCAGGTAGCTATAATGAAGCCAGTTCCCATCCATTTGGGGCACCCTCCAGCAGGGTCTGATGACGTCTGATGTTCCAAATCTCTTTGACAGTAAAATCGTAATGATCTACAGCATGACTCTGGATATTCTGAGAAGTTGAGTAGATTTACATATGATCATGTCTTTGAAGCTTCCAAATGGCATTGAATGGCATTTCTATTGAAGGTGATGTGGATGTGACTCAAGGCCCCACCCAACCCAGGCTAAAGATGTGAATTATGAGCTCTGACAGTCAGGTAAGATTTTACTCCTTGGGCCAAATCCTAGGACGACAGAGATGCAGACAGGTCAGGTGTGGTTACAGAAGGAAACACACCAGTTCTCCTCTCCAGATGAGATTTCTGGAGACTTTGGTGGGGACTCCATGCAATATGCTCCAGAAATTCAATTTGGTCAGAGTATACAGAGAAAAGAGTCAAGATTAGATAAACTGATTCACACTAACTAAACTCACAAAATGCTGGACATCAAGCAAGAAAAAAAATAAACTCTTAAGGAGATCAGAAACGGTTTTCAGGCCAGCACATTCTATCCCTATGGGACTATCTGCATGAGAGATCAGATTATAATAGAAACTTGCTAGTGAGCAGGTACAAGATCCAGAGCAATGGGTCACATGACCTCAATGGCCATGAACACTGAGCTGTGATGGCCTTTGGTACCCAATTACATGGCGTAGATAGAGTTACTCAGAGGCCCCTGCTTTCCCCGAAAGTGCTAGAGACACACCACATATATAGATATACGACTTTGATTTAGGAATAATAATATCATTGATTAGACAGAAATGTATTTCATTTCATTAAGTTTTATTAAATTTCCAAAGTCTGCTCTTCATGCTTATCAGTGATACACAATCTGGCTTTTAGATAACTTGGTTTTACTAGTTGAATCCCAGAGGATAAATTTATTTACAATTCTAGGGACATCATCCTGTGATCCCCATGTATTTACACAAGCACAATATCAAAAAACAAATCTGTATTTTCTGCCTTCAATATTCCTAGGGATGAAACAGAGAGTTTGAAATGGAAGCTCCCAACCAGTCTGCTGTGAAAGATTTTGTCTTACTGGGACTCTCAGCCCACCCAAAGCTGGAGAAAACCTTCTTTGTGCTCATCCTGCTGATGTACCTTGTGATCCTATTGGGCAACGGGGTCCTCATCCTGGTGACTGTGTCTGACTCCCGCCTGCACACGCCTATGTACTTCTTCCTGAGGAACCTCTCCTTCTTGGACATCTGCTACACAACCTCTTCAGTTCCCCTAGTCCTGGATGGTTTCCTGACCCCAAGGAAAACTATTTCTTTCTCAGGCTGTGCTGTGCAAATGTTTCTCTCCTTTGCTATGGGAGCCACTGAGTGTGTACTTCTGGGCATGATGGCATTTGATCGCTATGTGTCCATCTGCAACCCCCTTAGGTACCCTGTGATCATGAGCAAGGCTGCCTATGTGCCCATGGCTGCCAGCTCCTGGTTGGCTGGTGGAACCAACTCCTTGGTGCAGATTTCTCTTGCAGTACAGTTACCCTTCTGTGGGGACAATATCATCAACCACTTCATCTGTGAGATCCTGGCAGTTCTAAAGTTGGCCTGTGCTGACATCTCCATTAACGTGGTCAGCATGGGGGTGGCCAATGTGATCTTCCTGGGTGTCCCAGTTCTTTTCATCTTTGTCTCCTACATCTTTATAATTACCACCATCCTAAAGATACCCTTAGCTGAGGGGAGGCGAAAGGCGTTTTCCACCTGCTCTGCCCACTTCACCGTGGTGATCGTTTTCTATGGGACCATCCTATTCATGTATGGGAAGCCTAAATCAAAGGACCCCCTGGGAGCAGACAAACAGGACCTTTCAGACAAACTAATTTCCCTCTTCTATGGACTTCTGACTCCCATGCTTAACCCCATCATCTATAGTCTGAGGAACAAGGATGTTAAGATGGCTGTGAAAAACATGGTGGCTCAAAAATGCTTTACCCAGTGATGGTGAGATATGTCCCATGATTCACACACTCTGATGGCTCTCACTTGAGAAATTTAAATGCAATGTCATGCTAGATGAGGGACAAGTTGAATTTAGAGCTATGCTACTCAAAGTGTGGTCCATGGACCAGCAGTAGCAGAATCACCTGGGAAACATGCAGAATCTTGGATCCCATTCCAGACTCGCTAAATCAGAATCTGTATTTAAGATCCCAAGGTGATTCATATGCATGTTAAACTTTAAGAAGGATTGGTTAAAAGTGTATAGTGGATGCTGTGGTGTGTTGCTCAAATCCCCAGCCCCACATGCCAGGGCTGAAGCACTCATTACCCCAGCTCCTGGAAGTGTTGGTGGCTGACAACATTCAGCTGAGTCTCTCTTCAGGCCTTCAGTCTCTCTTCAACCTTACCCAAGGTTACATCCCCTTCTCAGGGGCAGCCTGCATCCAATAATTGGCCGATGTCAGTATAAAGGCCTTGTGCTCCTCGCCTCAAATGGAGATATCACTAAAGGGCCATCCCATCTCCAGAGGTCCCCATGGCAATTCAAGTTCTCCCTCTGCTGTGTCCTGCTGACTTCACATCCCCACAGGTGATGATCTTAACAGCACTCCCCAGTAAATACCCTGCAAGAAAATCTCCCCATCAGAGGAAACACAACCTGAAATAGAGGACAACAGTCAATCTCAGCACAGATGTGTGAATGGTGTGTATATCAAATCTACGTGTCCTTCTTAGGTGTTTTATGTACCACTGAATCCCAAGGAAAGTAACTCACTGAATTCCTTTTGTTCAGAAGAAGAAAAAAGGGTTCCCTAAAAACTATTTGCCAAATTAAATTTCTTTACTTTTCATTTCTACAAATGGATCCTAATTTTCATTGTGTGAGTGTTTTTACTCATAAACAGAGAATAAGTAGAGCCATTTTATCCACTGGGCGTGAGGGCCCAGTCATGGTCCATGGAGTTTTCTTCAAGGACATTCAAAGACGTTTGAGGCCTAGAAAAGCTGTTGGCTAGTCGACCATAAAAATAAAATTTAAAAAACTAAGAACTCTTAATTAATAATTGTTTATTTATATGCCTGTAAAAGGGAACATTATGTCAACCACAGGAATTGACTGGGGAAGACTGATGACAAGGACCTTCCCCCAGAGCCAACAGAGAAAGAAAGCCCTTCTTGGGAGCTGGCACCCGGAATTTGGACTTCTAGCGTCCTAAACTGTGAGAGAATAAATGTCTCTTTGTTAAAGCCATCCACCTGTGGTATTTCTCTTATAGTAGCAGCACTAGATAACTGAGACACTGATTTTTAGCTGTATTAAAAAGACAGCCTAAAAAATTATTAAAGGAATTTTTAGCCCTGATTAGAAAACTACCCCTTCTCTTCCTAGTTTATTGCAGAAAAATACCAGTCTACAAAAACTATGAATGACTCTTCTAGAAGTGTCTTCATTTAAATTATAATGGCCATGTATAAAAGAATGGAGTTGGACCCCTACATCACACCATAACCAAAAATTAACTCCAGATAGATTAAAGACCTAAATGTAAGAGCCAAAACAATAAAGCTCCTGGGAGAAAATACAGGAGTAACTCTTCATGATATTTGATTGTTGTTGCTAGGTGCTGTGGAGTCGATTTCAACTCATAGTGACCCCACATGACAGAAGAGAACTTCCCTGTAGTGTTTTCTTTGCTATACTCTTTTACAGAAGCAGATCACCAGGTCTTTCTCCCATGGAGCTGCTGGGTGGGTTTGAACTGCCAACCTTCCGCTTAACAGCTGAGCACTTAACTGTTGCACCACCAGGGCTCCTAATACTTGATTAGGCAATGGTTTCTTAGATATGACACCAAAAGCACACGCAATCAAAGAAAAAAATAAATTGGACTTCATCAAAATTAAAATTTTTGGTCTTCAAAGAACACTATCAAGAAAGTGAAAAGATAACCCACAGACAAAAGATTTGCAAATCACATATCTGATGAGGGTCTAGTGTCCAGGATAAAAAACAAATAAACAACAACAACAACAAATAACACTATTAGAGCTCAATAACGAAAAGATAAATGCCTGGGTATACACCCAAAGAATTGAAAATTAGTACTCAGATATATGTATACATATGTTCATAGCAGAACTATTCACAATAGCCAGAAGGTAGAAACAGCCTAAATGTCCATCAGTGGATGAACAGATAAACATGTTGTGGTATATACATACAAAGAAATATTATTCAGCTATAAAGAGAAATGAAGTTCTTATACTAGCACATGGATGAACCTTTAAAACATTATGCTAAGTGAAAGCAGCCAGACACAAAAGGTCACATGTTGTATGATTCCATTTATATGAGATATACAGAATAGGAAATCTGTAGAGACAGAATGCAGATTGATGGTTGCCAGGGGCTAGGGGAAGAGAGAATGGGAAAAAATTTTTAGGGATACAGGGTTATTTTTGGTTGTTGTTGTATTTAATTGTGCTTTAGGTGAAAGTTTACAGCTCAAGCTAGTTCCTCATACAAAAATTTATACACACATTGTATTAGGGGTACAGGGTTTTATTTTGAAGTAATGGAAATGTTTTGGAACTAGATAGAAGTGGTGGTTGTACAACACTGTGAATGTACTAAATGCCACTGAATTGTTCACTTTAAAATGGTTAATTTTATGTTACATGAATTTTACCTCAATAAATTTTAAAAAATTAAAGAAAAATAACTCATTTAAAAAACGGACTAAGATTAAAATAGGCATGTCTCTTTAAAAAGATATACAAATGGCCAACAAACACATGAAAAAAACGCTCAACATTATTAGTTATCAGAGCAATGCAAATCAAAACCACAATGAGATAACACTTCTCACTCACTCAGGATTGCTATAATCAAAAAGACATACAATAACAAGTATCGTTGAAAATGTAGAGACATTGGAACCCACGTATGTTGCTGGTGGCAATGTAAACTGGTGCAGCTACTTTGGAAAATAGTTTGGCAGTTCCTCAAAAAGTTAAACATAGAGTTACTATATGACCCAGCAATTTGACTTCTAGTTATGTACTCGATAACTGAAAACACATGTTCACATAAAAACGTGTACACAAATGTTCATAGCAGCACTATTCATAATAGCCAAAAAGTGGAAACAGCCCAAACGTCCAACTGATGAATGGATAAACAAAATGTGGTATATCCATACAATGGAATATTATTCAGCAATACTGTAGAAAGAAATGAAGTACTGATACATGCTACAACATGGATGAATCTTGAAAACATTATGCCAAGTGAAAGAAGCCAGACACAAAAGATCACGTATGATTCCATTTATATAAAATGTCCGGAATAGGCAAATCCATAGATAGAAAGTAGATTAGGGGTTGCCAGGCCTGGAGAGAGGGAGGAAATGGAGTGATTGCTAACAGGTACAGGGCTTCTTTTTGGGGTGTTGAAAATGTCCTGGAACTAGACAGTGGTGATGGTTGTACAACCCTGTGAATACACTAAAAACCACTGAATTGTATACTTTAAACTAGTGCTAAGGGACTGTAGTGAGGGCCACCTATTCTTGAGCATGTGATGACCAGTGTGTCTGGATCAAGGTAAGCCTTTGGCCTCTCATTGTGTCACTTAATTTTGCAAAGACAAGTAGCAGCACCCCCTCAGACAGATGTAACATTGTGGTCAAAACACAATCAGACCCTAGTTAGTGCCTCTACTTCCATGAAGTTCAGCAAAGACAGCACGAGGAGTTTCTGAGGAACATTTCTTTGTAGTGAGAGTTGAGATTTACAGAGAGAGGTCTGCAACTTGTCTAATTGGGTTTATGGGACACAGACCCTAAACCCCTGTGAGGCCTGTCTCTTAGCAAACTTTAAATTGCTTCTGGGATTAAAACTGGCCCCCAAACAACCAGAGCTTTAAATTGCTACATGGCTCCTTGATAGAACCTCTGGAGAGTTGGGAGAGGACAGAGTTGAGGGTTCCTGCCCTAGGCATGTAGGCTAGGCAGACTGACAGGACTGGCGGTCAGCAGAATCTCAAGCCGTTCTTCCTCTTGTTTCCCCACTGGGTACAAAAAGCAGATGTGCAGAAGGCCAGAAAAGTGAGCAGCTAGAGACTCTTTAGTTATGGCCAACACTGAATTTTCTTTACTTTGCTGTGAGATTTGAAGGGAATATTTATCTCCAAGACAGCTAAACAGAATTTGCCTCCTGCTTCCAGGCATAGCTCCAACAGATGGGGCTAGACCAGGATGGTCAAGGTGGGCAGTTGAAATAATCATCTCCCAAACCCAGAGGCCTTCCAGCAAGCTCTGGCCATAAACCTTCTATCCTGGTGAATGTCCATTCCCATCCAGTTTCCTCACTAGACATAGACTGGGTTCTCTCCATGGCCAAACCTTCTTCAGGGAGGTGGGGAGAAGAGAAAAAGGGTGAATGAGGACCTGGTCACACTGGTCTCTGAAGGGCTTTCACAGGGGAAAGGGAGCAGGCCTGTTCTGGGAGCCTAGACCAGTGCAGGGAGAGGGAGGGACAGTAGAAGAAGAAAGTTTCTGCTCAACATAAGGGGAAACTTCCTAACAACCAAGCCTGTCTGACAAAGGAATGGGAGGTGTGAGCTCCACACAAACTCAAGGTGCTCTAAGCAGAAATGGGAAAATTGTGTTTCATAGAGAGTATTCATACAGTGATGAGAAGGAGGCAAGACCAGTTACTTTGCAACATTCCTGCCAAGTCTGAGATTTTCCAGTCAATAGTACTAACATCTAGAAAAACAAATGTCTTTTCCCAAATATTCTTGATGCCCAGAGCCAATCTCCTCTGGTAATTGCACGAGGATAAGTTCAAACTGTGTCTGGTTCCTACTACTCAGTCTTCCCCAACCAGCAGCAGTGTAATAGTCACAGATGAAGTTTGTCAAGCTCAGAGGCAGTTTCCAGCCTTCCCAACCCACACCCTTCACCGCAGTCCATGCCATGAGGCAGATGTCTT